GGGCTGCTGCTGCTGCTGCTCCTGTGCCCAGCGCACGTCGGCGGACTGTGGTGGTGAGTCTGGCTCTCCTGGAGCGGCTCTGGACGCTGGAGGGTGGGGACTCCGGGACCCAGGACCGATTGGGGTGTTCCGCAGCCTCCGGGCTCTACCTGCTTTCAGAGCCCAGCTTTCTGGCCTCCACCGGGGGCCTTTCTGAACGCCACTTCGAGGTTCCTAACCCCTGGGCACATTCTATTGTGTTTCCTCCTCCCGGGTTCTCCCCCCGCCCCCGCCAAGTTATGCGCTCACCCAGCTCACCAAGGAACAGGCGGGTGGGTAGGAAAGAGCTTTCGGAAAGACACATACCCGAGGAAAAGAATGTGTGAGGAGGGCCCTGGATTCAGGGTAGGGGGCTGGATTTGGAGAAGACAGGAACAAGGTGGGAAGCCACAAGGCAGAGAGGACCACACAGCTGCCCCTTCCCCGCCCTGCTTTGCCTACCAACACACCAGCTTCTCTCCGGGCTCCTGTGGAGTGGACCGTAGTGGCGAGAGAGGGAATATAAAGGGGAAAGTGAGTCAGGACCCTGGTTTTCTCTACCTCGTCCTACCCGAGCAAGGAAAAGGAGGAGAGGAAGGAATGGGACCCAGGCGCCCAGCCCTTCCAGACGTGGGGGTCATGACTGAAAAAAAAATGTGCAGCCTGGGAGATAAGTGACCGGGAGGGTCCTGCGGGAAGGGAGAGGGGCCTGGTCAGCCAAGGGACGGGGGCGTCTTCCCAGGCTTGGCCCTAGCTAGAAGGGACACCTAGGCAGTGAAGGTTGCGGGAGCTTCGAGCCCTGGGGGTGGGGCCGAAGCGGAGAAGGAGGGTGCCCGGCCGGGACGGCTCAGAGATCCAGATCCAGAGGACTTTTTTTCCCCTTGGTCTCCAGAGCCGCAAACCCTCGCCCGGAATAGCTCAGTGTTTAGAGAGGAGGGACTTGGACTACAACGCTGACGGGTTAGCCAATCTTAAGAAGGCAGGGTCGTGCCTATTTGCATATTGCCACGTGATTGGCTGGTTGTCGACCCTCCGCTCCACCCTCGCCCCCCAGATTTGGAAGAGAGGCAGATCCCGGTGCTCTGGAGAGATAGGGAGTGGGATACCCACACAGCGAGCGGCGGGCCGCAATCCTCCGTGATGCGGGGAGCCGTCCCACGCGAGTGTCACGGAAGGGGCGAACCGAGGACGACCCAGGTCCCAACTAGGGAACACATGCCCTTTAATCCGGCTTAGTATAATGCAGTGGCAGCTTCGAAGCAGATAGATCTAAGATCTAAACATTATGTTTGTGATCTTGGGCTAGTCACTTCCTTTCCCTACCTCTCAGTCTTGACTGGAAATAGGATAACAGTCTCCCTACCTGGCAGGCTTGCTGGGAAGGTTAGGTAGGAGGACGTGTAGAATAACAGGACCTTAGGAGGTACTTAGTATATGCGGTGCCCTCCTCACAACCCAGCTTCTCCTGGCCAGGGTCCCCAGGATTGAAAAAGGGAATTCATTTAAATTTAAAATCCAGAGTTTCAAGGAAAATGTTGTAAAGGAATCTCTTTTCCCCATAAACGCCTTTCCTAACTTTGCCCTTTTTCAAGGTATGGGGATGGGGTCCCTCCCTGATGGCCATTGTCTTCCTTCCCCTCCCTCCCCGTCTGTCTAAATCATTCTTATCCTTACAGTTAAAATACCACTTCCACCCTGAAGCTGCCCCCTTGTCCTCCTTCCATTGGCTTCTCTGTGCTCCCACTGTATCACAAACATTGGGCAACCATGCTAGTTACTGCATTTGGCTGACAACAGTCCTTTAGGTCTCTCTTCCCTGCTCCTGGAAGGCAGATACCTTGTCTTTAGGAGCCCTGAGGCCTAGGAGAGTGTTGGTGCTGGAGACGGGTTTGTGGAGTGTCGTTGGACAGGCTGATTCACCTTTCTGGGCTCTATATCTGTGGGGGTTCCTTTGTTCAGGAGGGACTCCTGGGTGGCAGCCAAGCCAAAGGAGAGCGGCCTGGTCCCTGAGAGACTGACCCTGAAGCTAGGAAGAAGGGAGTGGGGGAGGAGGTGACACGGGCAGGTGTGGGAGAACACAGAGGCCTTCATGGCCACAGCTGCAGGGTGTGCCGGGTGAGGAGTGAGGGGCCCCCGTGATAAGGTGTCCAACTGCCTTGCTCAGATGTGCCTCAGAGGGAATGAGCCTCTCCTGCCTGCCTTGGCCCCTTCACTCTCCTCTATTTATTTTCTTTCTTTATTTCTATTTTTATTTATTTATTTATTTATTTACTTACTTAGAGACAGAGTCTCGTTCTGTCGCCCAGGCTGGAGTGCAGTGGTGCGATCTTGGCTCATGGCAACCTGTCTCCCGGGTTCTAGTGATTCTCCTGCTTCAGCTTCCCAAGTAGCTAGGACTACAGGCGCCCACCACCATGCCTGGCTAGTTTTTGTATTTTTAGTAGAGACAAGGTTTCACCACGTTGGCCAGGCTGGTCTCAAACTCCTGACCTCAAGTGATCTGCCCACCTCGGCCTCCCAAAGTGCTGGGATTACAGCCATGAGCCACCACGCTCAGCCTCTTTTATTTTTTATTTTTTGAGATGGAGTCTTGTTGTGTCACCCAGGCTGGAGTGCAGTGGCACAATATTGGCTCACTACAGCCTCTACCTCCCGGCTCAAATG